AAAACAAGACCTCAGAAGCTCTCTTCTAGTGGCAGCGAAATGTGGATCAGGCTTAAAACAAATGGATACAGGTCAATCAAGTTTAAGGCAACGTATAAGGCTGTGAGAGGTAAGACTGGTTGATATAAATACTGAGTAGAGATTACCAATTGCAGGTATAATGCTACGAGCAGATAGTTTAAATTTAAGTTTAATAATACTTTGTCATGCTAATACAAGTAAATAAATAATATTACAGAAAATACAAAAAGTGCATGACTGGAGAATAATTGGGGGAAACTAAATTTCCATACAAAGAATATCCTCCGATATTAAACATACTAGAACTTAAGAAGTAAAATTTAAATGCGGCCCAAAACTAACCTGATTACATTGCATACTTGTCACTCATGAGTTACACCTGATTTAAAATTGACACAAATGATCCAATAGATACGACTTAAAACTGCTTAATGAAGGTGCGTGCATAATGTTCGATGGAATACTATTCCAGCCTGTTATATAGCGATTGAAAAATGAACATTTAAAGTAATTTGTTCGTGTCTTCTTAGTTCTTATCTTAAAATTATGGTTCCTACGCGTTTTCGCTAATACACTATGTTAAAATAGAAAAAACATGTGAGGATGCATGCTGAGCAGTAGGCACCATTTGAGAATCGATGTTCTGACGTACACTTTTTGCTGATCACAGTCCCCTTCATTGGGTCAATTAATAGCCTGTAGAGGACTTCACGAGAGTCCTATAATCACAAGTCTAAGGTCTTAAAGTCATACGAAAATGATTTGAAACTGTTTGCGCGCAATAAGAGTGTTACGATTTATATTTAAGTCATGCGATGGCACCTCTGTCCATTTTGGCTGAAAATCATCCCGACAAACAAAAAATCGAGATTGTAACGCCTGAATAGCGACAGGACACCCAAGGAAGCACAGGAGACCCAAATATTGGTGTGCTGATCTCCAGGGGGCCGAAGCAACAATAATTTACAGGATCACGGTAATCAAATTACTTTCTAATGAGCCACGTTGCTAATAAGATCTAATAACCACCCAGGTTTTATAAATCTCAAGTGACGTCTAACGTCTGATCTGTAATCCTTTCAAACTCTTTATTTTTACGGCAGACGTTATTTAACAATTCAAGATTGGACGAGGCTGAGCAAAAAGGCCTGATTTGTCAGTGGCGAGCAGATCAATTCTTTGCCGAAGCCGAAGACTGAGGCAAATAACTGATCTGCGAGATCAACAATCGAGTTGAATAATCGTTTTATCATTCGATGACCGCGCTTGGTTTTTAACGAATATCTTCGGGAAGGGAAGCGATCTGCCATTCACGTGAAGAGCGATCGCAAGAAGAAGAAAATTATGGTATCATTTACCCATGACCCTTTTTCGGGGAGGGGCGACTGTACACAAGTTGTGCGCTTGGCAACAGCATTCGATATGATTTGAAAAAAAAAGGCCAAGAATTCATTTCTCGTGACTATACAACCAATTGTCACGAAACAAGCAACTTAAGAGAAGTGGTGAAATCCATTTTTATTGACTGACTTAAAACTAATTTAGCATTTATGTACTTTTTCCATGGCAGATTCTCCATCCACTTTGCTTGTGGTAGCCGGTGTGTCAACTATCGTTGGTCTAATGATGACTTTATTATTATTGACACTCTACCTGAAAAGAAAGCGAAGAAGTTCGGATGAAGAGAACACTTCTCTCGCTGGATCTCAGAACCAAGAGAGCGAACAGAACTGTACTGCTTGCGGTACATCCAGAATACCGTGTGAAAACATTACGTTCACTTCAGTGGCAGCTGAAAACTCGGCTGGGCGGAAGGAGTCACTTTCCGAGCATGAACTTGTGATTAGTAGTCGAGGAAATGAAAAAACACGAACACAGTCACTTGGGGCCTACGCGCAAGAAAATCTAGCACCTGTTGTAGAATAACCGATGGGTGAACGTAACAGAAATTCACAAGCGGTTGTGAGCGAAAACAATATTGAAACAATTAATGTTGTGACAATTCAGAACTATGTCGCAAGAGTGTTGCAATGCTATGTTGAGAATCCTCCCTTGTAAAATCATGGGCGACTGTTTCCTTTTAAACAGACGTCACCCATACCCCACCCTCCCCTTCACCCCGCCTCAATAGGCCTCCTTGGCCCCAGGCGAAGCAAACCTCATCCCCAGGGTCTTCTCGCTTTCCAAAATGCCGCCGCCATATTGGAAAGCGAGAAGGCCCTCGGGACGAGGTTGAGGTTCAGAAGGGCGTGTTTACAGGCCCTGCAGCCTTTGCGATAGTGCATATAGTGCATATACATGTCGGCCATTTTGTTCCAAGTGTGTGCGGGAGATGAATTCAAAATATGGAAATTCACTCACTAATGAGAAGGTTGGTTTTGTTTTATTTATGCTGTTCGAGTACATGAAACAGAATAAATACAGAAAACTGAAATAATGACTTTTATTAACAGCAAAATTGGAGGGAAATGTTATCACGAGGATATAGATTTCCACTGTATTGTCTTCCTATGCAAGTGTTCCAGCAGGGGTATTACTAAACAGAGTAACGCAGTAACAAGTAACGGAGTCACGAGAAAACGAGTAAAGGGATAAAAATTCAAGGGTTAAAAAAAAAATAAATCCTAAAGAAAAAAAAAACATAAAAATGGTTGCACTATCCTAATAATGACCTTTACCAATCTCGAAAAATATGTGTATTCCAAAAAGTGCTTAAAACAACGACGTCAACCCCCCCTTCCTCACCCCTCCCTCCAGCAAAGTCGAAGGTATTTTGGCGCCGAAAAAGTCACCTGGCTACGGCTGTTATAGGGAGCCGACCTGCACCTTTTCCAAATAAGGTTTGTGATTGGCTGGGAAAACAATAGGGATTGTGACATAACAATGCCCCTATCCCTGAAAACAATAGGTAGTGCAGGTTATAGGAACCAATGAAAGAAGAGGTTTGGATGGGTGTAGCTCACAGCCAAGAGGAGAGCGAGGAGCCACTAAAGAGGAAGGTGAGGTACAGATATTCTTTCTGATTGCCACAGTTATTTCATTTCTTAGTAGAAATAGCTCCGAAAGTGAAGAAATGATCGTCGCAGTGAACGCAATTTATGTAATTGTGTAAAGAAGCCTGAAAAAAACTTCAGGACTTCAACGGGGTTTGAACCCGTGACCTCGATACCGGTGCGATGCTCTACCAACTGAGCTATGAAGCCACCGACGTTGGGAGCAGGTCAATAGACCATTTTACAGTTGTGGACTTAGTACCCTTGCCTTCGAGTGAATGCGAGGCTGATGGTGACCTTGTTTTGATACAAACCTCCTTTGCTTTGTTATGGAAATTGTCCTTGAAAAAAAATTGGTTAGCATAAGAATAACTTGTTTTACATAATTAAGCAGGGAGGTTTGTATCAAACCAAGGTTACCGTTAGCCTCGCTTTGATCCATAACTGTAAAATGGCCTATTGTGGGTTCATATTGTTCATATATGGGATTCGACTTAATACTTCCTTCCAAAAGTTAATTATAGTGAACGTTTCTACCGGTTTAAAAGGGATAATAAATCATGTTTAAAAATAACTTCCCGAAGTAAAGACTCTGAAATTTGAATTTTGGTGGCAAAAGTAAAATAGATCGATTTTCAATTAGTGTAAAGTAAAGTAAAGAAACATTCAAATGGATTGGTTTGCTCGAAGTTGCGTTTAACATCAATAAATGCAGAATAACCTAAACATAGTTACTGCCAGGGCATGAAATTCACTATTTTTTGTAGGATTCACTTGGCTACTTAATATTTCAAAGTGGTAGCCAATTCCATTAAGTCGAATACGGTCCTGCGTCTCCAGAAAAAAAAGATATAAACAAAACAAAACAAGAAGAAATAGAACAAACAAGGAAAAAACGTCCGGTTTACTAAGATGATATTTTAGAGCTGAGATCCTCCAGATTGACAAGTTTTGAACCCAAATGATTCTAGCAAGTAATCAAAGAAAGCGAAGAGGACCCCTACATATCTACTTGAAAACTGAACCAAGATGGCGTTCGCCAGCGACAGAGTCTCCAGGGTGAAATATGTGCCGTTTTGCATGATCGTCATCATCGTTATTTCCTCACTTATATGTGTTATCCGCGACTGTGCTCACACGGTGGGTGACTCCTCCTAAAATGTTCTGCAATTGGTATAGGATTTAATGGAGCCGAAACCAATTGTGGAATAGCACGCATTTTAGGCATCCTACTGATGAACAGTTGGGACACGTAAATATATTTTTTAGCGACTACTATAATTTGCAGTCTGTCTACTTTGAATTGGTGCCTGTATTAGTTGATGCAATTTCACGCCCTGATAACATGCAATTACATAAATTGATTTTGACCCAAATTTTAGTTTGTTAAGTCTGGGCTTAATGGCTTAAAGGCAGCTACGCACCTTTCAGCGCTGAATTCTGTCAGGGACTTTTCCACTTCTTCTAGCCTTGCTTTGACGATCAATCTCTTATATTAGGACCTAGCATTTAAAAGTGCTGAAGTGGCACTTGCAGAGGGCTTTTACCATCCTGCGACTACGAAGAGGGACCTGCATCTGGCATAAGAAATACGTTCCTTAATCTTCTTACAAAATTTAATTTAACCATTACTGTTAGTTATCACAATCGTTCACACTGTAACCTTGAAACTGTAACCTTGAAGGGTAATCCCATAATTTGTCTAAAAAAAGAATACGTCTCGGAACAAATTAACGTTCTGTTTCTTTTCTTCATGATCTCAATAAGCACAACGTATACCGCGGGATCAAACTAACCATACGGAAATCAATGTTATTGATGCGATGTCGATGTTGGTACTAATGCTACTAGGAACACTTGTGAAGTCAAAACCACAACGACAAACCAGTGAGGGTCAACTGGATCTTTAGTAGACCTGGATCAGTAAAATCTTGAAAACCAAATTTTAAACTGAAAACAGTAAACTGATCCTTACGGCAGGAAGAGTGATAGAAAAAATAAAGTAAAAAAACAAAAATAAAGTTGTGAATTATCTGCCCTATATTTCGGTTTGCAACACAAACCTTCAACGGGGGCTATAAAAGAAAAATGAATACAGATAAAAGATCGATGAACGTTACATACGTGAGATTTGAATACATAGCAAACAGAAAATGATAGGCTACTAAAAAGATAAATGTCACTAATTAAGTTCATCACGTCTATTTATACCCTGAGGTTCTAAAGTCATAGCTTTGTCAATGAGGTGAGCCTTGCGGTTGCTATGGATTAGTTCTAAGGGAATAAGAAGGACGTCGTTGATAGAGTGATCGGCTTGATTAAAATGTTCGGAGACAGGAGTAGGATTAGAAAAGTGGCCATAGTTGAGAATGGAGCGGCGATACTCCCCAAAGCGTTGGTGGAGATGACGCTTGGTCTCCCCAACGTCCTGTTTGCCGCACTTTTTGCATTCAATGAGATAGACAAGGTTTTTGGAGTTACAGTTTAAGGGGTCATGTATACGTCGTTTCTCTTGGGTGGAGGTGAAGGTGTAGTCGGCTTGGCCTTGTTTTTAAAATAGACAGGTAAGGCAGCGTGGATGATTGCATTTTGAAACGCCGGGAGATGGTTTTTCTTGTTGTATGCTACAATCACTTAAAGCGCTTCTAACAAGTAAGTCAGGAAGGCTGGGACTCCTTTTATAAGCAACGACTGGTGGAGACGGAAATATTTGTTTGTAGCGATTGGATGATTGAAGAATGTTTATATTCTTCCGAACAGCGATGGAAACGTTAGGAAGAGGTGGATTGTATGACAAAGGGAGTTCGGTTTGAGTTGTTGTTCTATGTTTGTGGTTTAAAAGTTTCTTGACGTGGGATGATACGTGCCCGGTTAATTCCTTTTTTAAGAAAGTGGCGGCTGTATCCTCGTAGTTTCAGTACGTTCATTGCAGCGTAGTACTACCTGGGTACTACTCATGGACAGTGACTTAAAACCAGTATATGCAGTTTTGTTCAGTTGTACATAAAAAAATGATTTGTGAAAATTGTTTAGAAACAATTTGGCATACACATAATTTTCGAATTGGTAAAGGTCATTAATAGGATATTACAACCATTTTTATGTTTTTCTTCCTTCATTAGGATTTATTTATTTATTTTTTTAACCTCTTGAATTTTTATCCCGTTAAGAAACGCTATTTTTAGCATTTTCCAAAGGAGTTTTCTATGAGTTTTGTCAAAAATTCTAATTTTTTTCATTCTTTCGTTTTCTTCAAAATAAACCTAGAAGAAGTGTTTGCTAAAGTTCTAGATCGATAGAAAAGCTTCTCAGGCCATAAAAATGTCGACTTTTTGGCATTTTTCTAAAGAGGTTAGCTCATGATTTTTGTCAAAAATTTGAAATTTTTCCCTTCTTTCTCGTTCGTAAAAACAAACCCAGAAAACGTGTTTGCTAATGATCCAGATTGACAGAAAAGCTTTCTAGGATATAAAAATATCGACTTTTAAAAAACCGTATTTTGGGCATTTTTCCAAAGGGGTTAACACATGATTTTTGTCAAAAATTTAAACCTTTCCCTTCTTTGTTTTTCGTTAAAGCAAACGTAGAAAAAGTGTTTGCTAATATTCTAGATTGATTTTGTCAAAAATTTGAAATTTTTTCTTTTTTTTTCTGTCAAATTAAACCTAGAAAAAGTGTTTGCCAATGTTCTAGATCAATAGAAAAGCTTTTCAGGCTATAAAAAAATCGAGTGTTAAAAATCGCTATTTTTGGCATTTTTTGTTAAATGGGTTAGCCCTTGACTTTTTTCAAAAATTTGAAACTTTTCCCTAGACCTAGAAAAATTGTTTGCTAGTAAGACTTGAAAATTAATTTTGCTTAAAAAATCGCCTTTCGCCTGAAGGACACCTCACCTTTTAGGGACAAGTAACCCTATAAGACGGATAGCAGGTAAATTGAAACTCAAATTCCCAACACAACGGGATCTCGCTGTTATGGACACTATATCTCGTGTTCTCGAGGTCGTCCGCATAGAAAGAGTTGTACTTCTCTACCAAGATCTTGAAGCTGGAAGGACGCAGTTGGTGTAAACCCTTTCCACCGCCCCCACTTGAGAAATGAGAATTTTAATATTACTATCA